TCACCTGTGTCTAGCTATGCATTCTAAAGCAAGTGACATACATTGTACTGAAAGGGCACTGATGAGAAGACGGTCAGTGATTTGCATTAGCAAACTGAAATCACAGGCAAATCCTTCCTGGCAGAAAAGACAATTCTAAAATGCAAAGAAATCCAGTTTTAGTTGATTCAACAATGCAGCCTTAGATGCATACTGCACTTATTTATTCTGGTTACAATTTGCATCATTCATAACAGTCTTCAATAACACTGAGATAGGCTTTCCACTGGAGTAAATTTAGAGCATTTCCTCTGGAGAAAAAGAAAAGGCCAGATTTTAACTCATGAGTCACAGAGATACATGCATCAGGGATAGGCAAACTTGTCCAGCTGGGGCTGAAATGGCCCACGTGCGTCAGAGGCAGGTAGGCATGCACTAGGACCTGGCCGCCATCACTGCTCATTCTCATGGGAAAAATTCCTGCAGCTGAAGCCCCCTGCTGCCAAATGCTGCCAAAACCTCACATCCGTGGGCTGGTTCCAATGGTTCTGCAGGCCAGATCCAGCCCCTGGGGCCATAGGTTGACATGCCTTGATGTTTATAATTAAACGGACACTCTTCAGAATGTGTCAGCTGCTGTATTCAGTTGATACTAGTTTGCAGCAAAATCTGGTAAGAGCAACAAACTCTTAGCAGCAACAGTTCCCGGGGATATTTTCTAAGCCATATTTTCAGACAACATTCTTTTTAAGAGCAACAGCCACTGAGGAGCAAAATAGCACCATGGGGCCAAGATGTTCTTACTAACAGGCGTCAACTGTATGACTAAGCATTTCTTTGTAGTTAGTTAACTCAAGGTTTGCAGTGTTTAAGGTGCTCCCCAAAAAATGCAGAGGAGAGGTGCAGTTACAGAAGTAATTGTATCTATTCACCTTCAGTGCAATCGGTAATCTGATTAAAATATAAAGACCAACACTCTTAGCAAACAATAGAACTCCCTGCACCGGCCACAGTGGAAGATTTCACGGGGAAGCTGCACCAACCCACACACTGGATGGCCTTCAGAGAGGAGAGGGCCTAAAACACCAGTCCTCTTCCCCACAGCAAGCACCATTATGCCATGCTACCCACAGCTCTGTCCCATAAGACTCAGTCCTAAGATTGACCTATAGTCACCACAGGTCAGTGCCAAGATGGTAGCAGCAGGCATCTCATCTGGAATTCACATCAAAGTCTCTATCAGTCCACATTCATTGTCCTGTATTTTGCTCTTCCTGGGTCCTTTCTGAGCCAGGCTGAGCAAGATTTATTCCACCTTTGAGCTGAAATAAGTCAGACAAGCAGTTTGCATACTTGGCAAGGACCATCCTTCCCCCATGCCCTTGTACAGATGCTAAGTCATACTATTTTACTGACTCAACTGGTATAAATCAAAACAGCACTCTGCATAAACCCCACTGTAGCTGTGATATTTGGGGAGGGGGAAATAGAGACTTAAGCATTTAGCCAAAGAGGGTAGGATAGACAGTGTCCCACCAGGAACACAGAGGGCCAAAGCTCCTCAGTGCACAGAGGGCCTCCCATCATGGCATGGCATAGTCCATGCCCCTACCATGGTCCTGACCCTTTCTCAGACAGTAAGGACATTGCTCATCCCCAAATCCTTTCCAGGCAAAGGAGAAATGCTTTACACTCATCACCATACTGTGCTTCTCCATTGAGGGTCCTGGGTGGCCTCACCTGAGGTCAAAATGGTTTTCATCAAACATTTTTTACAAAGCAGAAAGCAAAAAGGCAAAGAAGCAATACTATTTACTAAACACAGTGTATATGGAAACATCTTGTAACAGCTCAGTATTGCCTAAAATCTGAGAGATGTAACAGCTGATTATGAATTGTTAGTGATAGGTGGCAGGGCTGCTGGCAATCAGTTTGAATTGCTGTTCAGAGGATAGTTGAGAAAACTGAATGCCTCATTGCCTATCAGGCTAGCTGCCTGTTCCAAATGTCAGTGCCACACTACAGTAAGTATCATAATGCTGTCCACCATAAGAGTTACTTGACATCTTAAATAAGCTTTCCCAAGCACAAACAGTTAATAAGTCAAAATCCCTGTCTCTCTCTTGCATTGACAAGTCACTTATATCTTAAACAGTGCTAATACCACTTACCCACTATCGGGGATGGTGATCAACACTCAGAAAAGTAGCCTTGCATCTGTCAGGCTTCAGTAATGCCAGCCCATTAAGGTGAAGAGTAAACATCAGAACAAAAATATTTAAGCCTTATTTAGTCTCAGTAAAAGCCTGAGTATTCAACCTGATTAACTGCCAAGCCACTGCTTCTGGATTCAGTTTCTGAATAAAGTATCTATAGAAACAAATAAAGTGATATAATCCAGTCCTAAATAATGTGAGATCAAAAATAGACCTTCAAGGCAAATGGAAACTATGCTGTTACAAACAGCAAATCTCCAACTGCATCATGGGATGAGTCTTGTTAGCAATAACAAAGCCCTGTAATGCTCTTTATAAAGCTAAGTGTGAGGGTGATGGGGAAAGATTAAAAAAACAAAACAAAAAACTGCATTTTTATTTCAGGATCTAAAAATTATTTAAGACTAACTTGTCCCTTGTATCAATGGAGGAACTTGGGCTAAAGGTATGAGACGATTTATCCAAAGTTCCCATGGCAACTCACAGGCAAAAAGTCAATAACTGAACATAGGTTATAGTCATTTACTCTAACCACTAAACCACACTGCTTCCTTTATTGATCTGGGGAATTCTTTATTGTTTGTTTCACTCTTTTTGGGCTCTGTTTTTCTACATATCCAATACAGTTCAGGGTTTATTGTCTAGTCAGGACTTTAGGAATGAATGAATGAATGAATATGCTTTTACAGAGAAAGTCAGATGCCCATTATAGATGTACTCTGTGAATGTTAACATACCATATGATAAAATTACTGAATGACTCTGGGGGGGAAAACTGCATATAAATCACTACTCAACAACATCATTGGCTTGGATCTACTTTAGGAGAGACCAAAAGTCATTACCATGTCACAGATGTTTGGCTTCCCAGGTGAAACAAGTCAAGTTATCTCCATCCCATTTCTTATGGGCAGAAATTCTTGAGAAGTATGTACAAAAACCTCATTCCATCAAAATGGTCCCTACATCAGCAAAGATATCAGGGACTGCACCACAGAGACAACGTGACTGGAAATGGCTCTGCTAGCCCAGGGGAGGTAGCTGGGTAGAGGAAAAAGCATATGGAAGCTGGCACTTACCATGTTGTACCAGGGCTACAGGTCACATATTTGACTATCCCAGTTCAACGTCTTTCATTAGCACCCAACAACAGACTACGCATGGCATCTCAGCATCACAGTCATTGTCATGCAAATAAACACAAAATGCTAACTGTTATGGTGTGGTAGGTAGCTAGGTCTGTATGTACTCACTGCTCATTAAGAAAGATTCAGATCCACTTAACTGCCACTTCTTCTAGAGGCAAGTCTGACGTTTTGGAAAAAGTTGGGCCTTGATCCTGTACACACAAACACACATTCCCCTTGCAACGTGGATGTAGTTCTATTGAAGTCAACAGGACTACTCACGGATCTAAAGTTAAGACTATAAAACAATTGCCAGACCTGGACCTCAGAGAGTTGGACAATGATTCAGCAAAGCACTTCAGTCTGTGCTTAAGGCTATCTCTATTTAGCAAAGCATTTAAGTACATGCATAACTGAGTGCTTTGCTGAACTGGGGCCATAATCCCTTCTCATAACCAAGGTCGATGAATAGCATGCCAAACTAAAGCTATTTATTGAGGGAAAGCAGCAACAGAGATCTCAGGTTTGTTAGTCGCTTTTTTGTCTGTTTGTTTTTGTTTGTTTGGGGGTTTTGTGGGGGGAGGTTAAGTGTTGTGTTAAAACACAAAAAGAAAGTCAACAATAAGAGAAATAGCAACCTGACAGTAGAATAAGGACAGAAATAGCTGGGAAAAAAATAATGCAGCTGTTAATCCCAAAATATGATTTAAAGGAAAGATCATAAGATTTTTTTTTACTCTAAGCACCTTGCAAAACAAGCCCAATTTGAGTGTGACCTATAGATATTATTGTAATATAAATGTTAAATAAATTAACAACAGTAACAACAATGGAGTTCTTGCTAAACAAAGAGAATGCTTGTGGGTTCATGTTATGGACATGAGGAATAAAGAAATAGGTGTAGCTAGCATCTGCTACAGACTTGGAAACCACAGAGATGAGATTAATAGATCCCCATTTGATCACGACAGGATTAATAAAATCATGCCAAGATACGACAACCATGGTTGAGTGTGGGGTCCTACATTAGGAAACATGTCGCAATGGAAATAATTCAAGGGGTGGCTTTTGAAATGCATTGGTATTGTTCATATATATGTTATACAAAAAACCGAGTGAAGCAATATGACACAGACTGCATCTTTTGGACCTAGAATTCCAAACAGGCCTTGGTTCCCCATCCCATTGCTTCTAGCACACTGAAAGCTTGCTTACTACATGATATGCATATAGACTACAGATTCCTCAACCCCAGTAGTCTCAGACTATGAGGATTCTTATTTTTTAATGGCTTTATTAGCAAAGAGAGAGAGGAAAAAACCCTATCAAAGGAATACAGAGTGTAATTGATACCCCATTTTTTCCCCTCTCTCAAAATTTGGCACTTCAGCTATACTGGCTCATTTCTACTGTATTAGTCCATGGTGGTAGGGCTAGCGTAAGTCAGTTGAAACCATGTTGGCAAGTCTGTCATCTATCCCTGAATGGATCACGTCTAGATACCATGGTAATTAGACAGCTTTTTATACACTAGAGGTTAATTGCATTAGCAACAGCAGGAAAAGACAAAGGCTAACATTTTCAGAAATGCCCACGTGACCTCCAGTAAAATACAGGCTCCTTATTGCCTAAATAACTCTTGAAAATGGAGCTTTGGCTCCCAAGTCACTTTGGAACTTTTGAAAAATTTGAGACAGTCTAGTACACTGCAAGTCATAAATAGCATGAAGGCAAATCTAGCTTTTCAGTCCACATTAGCCTAAGGCAGGGGCAGACAAAGGGAAATAAATGCCCTTTCACAGTCCAATGCTCTCCTCAATACTGGCAATTGCAGACTCTGCCCATCAGTCCTTCAACCCCATCTTGGAATGAACTCTACTGACATGTTATAAGAAAGCCTTTCTGGATCAAGAGATGCAAAAATCTAGAACTCTTGGTTCCAAAATACTTTCTGTATCAAGTAACTCTACTTGTAAAGATGAGACTCAATGTCCTGCTCTAAGCCCCACCTTGACTAATTACATTCTGTTTAAATTACCAGTAGAAGTTTCACTCGGAAAAACCATTATGCATTGCCACTTCGCATTGTTAAGGTCAGCTCCAAGGCCAGGGGAAATGAACAGGACTCTATGCATGAAAACTAGTGAACTGCAGATCAACTCTTAACATATTAGAGGCCACATCCTACTTCACCTGTTGGACACCTAAGTGAACTACAGGGTACTTACAGAGATTTGGTGAGTTTAGAGGAAAGTTAGATTGTGTTAAAAAATGGCCACCCAATCTAACTTAGTTTGCTCAGGTTCAGACCTTACACTTAGATCCCTAGTCAGGTCTATCTAAGTGTGAACTGTACAGAAGTCCAGGAAGGTTAAATTGGTCTAAAAATGGCTGATCCGATCTAAGTGAACTGTACCTTGGATATAGCCTAACTTAGATAGGATCCAGCGACACCAATATAACTGAACTTCTGTAATGTTCTCAGCACAGCCCCATGGCTGGGAAAGCCTACCCGCTGGCCCCAGCCCCAGGGCTTCCCTTTTTCCTATCCATCCCCCCCCAGGCTATTTTTAGTCCCCTGGCCTCACCCTTAGACAGACAACCACCCCCTCGCGGACAGCCAGACCCCACTGAGCCTGCCAAAACCCCATCCTGCAGCTGCTCCCAGTGCTGGTTTTACTAGCATTCACTGATGCTAGGAGTAAGGAAGTAAATTGTGGGTGTGTAGTTTATCTCGTAAATCACGGGGGGGGCGGGGGGGGGTTTATCTTGGGGTGGGAGAGTCAGGGGGCTAAAAATAGCTACTGATATCAGGGAAGGAAGAGTCCTCCTATCCCCCCAAGCCTCCCTGCAGACCCCGCTAGCCCCTCTGGCCCTCCAATCCTGCAAAACCCTCCTGGACCCCTCCCCCCACCCCAACCCCTTTGTAGACCCTAATCCCAATTTACCTTAGATTGGGTACCCATTTTTAACTTGATCTAACCTCCCCCAGTGTACAATGCCTAACTGCAATCCTGCTCAACCCTCTGAAAAATGTTAAACACATCCACTTTTGCAACATGTCATCATCTTAGCTTTAAGTCTAAGTCACAAAACAGTGAGCAGGAGGAGGGCACACTCACCTTTTGTGTTAATGGTTTTTCAGGGACTTGAGCAGGGTGTAATAGGAACACACGCAGGTACCTGATAAGTGGAATAGGATATGGACTCAAGTGTCTATCCATCATTTCAGTGGGGTGAAGAGAACAATAGCTGGGATTCTCAAAAGGGACAGATGGAGTTAGGTAACAGTTCTGTGACTTAAAAAAAAAAATCCTTCAGAATACCCCCACCTCCAAAAGCAGCATTCTTTCCCTCAAAATAAAAAGGTAAATGTTGTCCTTATTCAAAATGACAAATGTGCATGCCACAACTGTCAATTTTGAATTTACAAATTCTCATATGCAAAAGGGTAGCATTTTACTCAATTCTAAATAACCATTTAATTTACTGCATAACTGAAAAGTTTATAGCCTAAAACTCTCAGCTTTTGGATTTAAAAAAAAATTGGAATTTGCTGTCAGCTGCAAGTTATTTTTTTATGACCCAATGTATTTCCTGCCTTCATCCCATCAATATAAAGCAACTCAGCAGTGTTTACCAGTGTCTAGGTTTTCCCACAGAAATTTTCCAAAGCATGGCTTGCAAACTAACACAAACTCTGAGGCTGTCTACTTCATAATGCTTACTCAGAGTTTTTGATGATATTCTTGGCTCTACACGTTTGTGGCCACCACAGTTATTGACTGAGGTAAACATCTATAAACTAACAACCAAACATGTGAAAGAAGCCTGGTTTCCAAATGGTTGTCCTTCTACAACCAGATCACTACACTTAGACATGAACCCTAACTGTGTTTGGACATTCCTTCTCATTCCCACATCTCTGCAGTTGGCCTTCCCAGAATGCTCTGCACCATAAACTGTCCTAAAAATACTCTGTCCTTTGCATAAAGCTAAAGAAACAGTTGTCCAGATTTCGTACCACATGTACCAATAAATACATGGTTAGGTACTATCAATGTGAGCACATGCACAGAGTCAACATGGCTATGATCTATAAAATTAGATGTTGCTTGTACCCCACTCATCTCCACTTGGAGTAACTACAACATATTAAGTTCACATTACCCATTACCCACCATTCCCAACACACCCTGGCTGTGTCAGCCCTCCATCCCTCCAAGACAGATACATTATGTTCATGAAAGTTATTGCATATGTGCCTTCAAATAAGCTTCTGGAAAGTTGTCATCCCTGTCTGTTCTGACATTAAAAATCCCACAAGCTTTTTCATAAATACAGGGATTTATCCTAGCTTCTTCAGATTAAATTTGTCCTCTCCTGCTTCCTGTGGAGTATATTGGCAACTGCCTTCAATCTGCAGGGCCAGTAGCATTACAGGGGCAGGGGGTATAACCAGGACAGCAGCCCTGGGCACCACCTTTGTGGGGGACCACAAAAATAGCCACTGCTACAGTGGCAAGCTGATTACACCAGAGTCATCAGGTCCGCCATAACCAGTGCTGCTCCATGCATCATGGGTTTCCAGAGCACGGTGCTGCCATGCTATACCTCTGTGTAGGACAGCTGCAACTCCACAGTGCTCTGTGGGTATGCAGTTTGTGAAGCATCTCCATCTCGACCTGCTTTATTGCTCTCCTGTGTGGATAAACTACAGAAGTAGTTTATTCACACACACAGATAGACATAGATAAACTACATCTTTTCTAATTATGTATCATTTTGCTTTCCAGAAATAGTCAGTCAATGTTGTTAGCTGTATTTAATAATCTGCTCTAATAGATCCTGCTTCTTCCGGTGTTAATAGAGATAGAATATGTCACAGAGATTGAAATATAGAGTAAGTCTATGAAACATTTATGTATCTTTATTGATTCTGCACATTCATAGACCAAGCTGGGGTGGGAAATGAAATAAGACATTTCCTTTGACTACATCTCAGATCAACATCACTTCTGCCCCGTAATCACTTACTCATTGAAAAAGCAAGAGATACACAGCATCTGTGCTTCAGGGCAACCCATCACTATCTCTCAGGCTCTGCCGCCCCCCAGCACACACATGCTGTATTCTGTATTTTGTTTCTGATCTTGTAACCTTGTACCCAAGTGAACAGTCCTTCCATGAGCAATCTCACTAACATCAATGGAACTGCTTGCATGAATAAGGATGACTTCTACAAATAGAGGTTTGCAGAACGAGGCCTTTGCTAGCCAGCTTGTTTGTGGTTGACACTTAATACAGTGGTCTCTATTTATCTGACAACTGACTCAGATCAAATAACAGAACACTTTAAAATATTTTTTAAATTTACTCTGGCTAACACTTTAATACAAATTGAGAGACATTACCCTAAGCTACATTGCAAACTATTAATTTAAGCTTTAGATTGTCAACAGTAGGGGGGGGGGTGAAGCAGCATGTTTCTGAAATAAAATGCTCCGTTTTAACCTGTAAAAT